AAAGCAAAGCAAAGCAAAGCAAAGCAAAAGCAAGCATAATGCTAAAATCATTGGTTGTATTATCCTTCCCTTGAATTATGCTGTTCATTAAAGTTGTTGTTGTTGTTTAGTCGTTAAGTCGTGTCCGACTCTTCGTGACCCCATGAACCATATTGCGCCAGGCCTTCCTGTCCTTCACTGCCTCCCTGAGTTTGCTCAGTTTCATGCTCATCATTAAAGTAATACAGGTTAAAATAATAGAAAAAAATAAAGAATGGAGGGTGGAAAAAAACAAATATGACTACAATAATTGGACTTTATTTTAAAGTGTACTGATCATAGTGGCTAGATTCATACGTCACCACTCATAATGCTTATGGCTTAATGTTATCTGAATCCAGCTATTTTGGTCTATATACAGAGTTTATGGTTTACTGTTACATGTACCAGCTAAGAATTTATCTACATTTATTCTATATGAAGCAGACCAAAATGGAAAATGTTTCAGAGGTAATAAGGATATTAACTGTGCTTGCAAATGTTAGGAATTATTATAAAACGTAAAGCAATTCCAGTAATTTTCAGAAATACAAAAATATCTACAACAGATCACAATCCTGAATGGACTACAAATGTGGAAACAGAGTAAGGTAGCAAGATCATTCTTGCACTCTTTTGTTTTTAAGGCTAAATAAGATTTCAAGCACTGCAGAAACATGTTTTCCTACATTTCTAACTTTCAAACAACAGTAAAAAAATGGCCCTAGGAGAGAGCATTGGGGGGATGCTAGATTTTGGTATCTACCTTTGTTGATCAGTGTTACTGTATTACAATGTATCCTGCTTATTATTGTTACAGTATGTTGTTTTTAATCCTCTGTTTTTTCTATGTACAATGCTCTTAGCAGTTGGAAGTAAGGCAGCATAGAAATCTTATTAATAAAACTAATATTAATCAATACCACAGAGTATCAGACATAATCAGTCAAAAACATATACTGCTAGATTAGATTGAGACACTGAGTCACCACTATGAGCCTCTTCCTGATACTAGGGTCATGACATTAGGAAAAATTAGGAATAGATTGGAAAAATCATGCCAACTCAGAGTACAAATAATATAACCTTGCAATTTATTCTTGTTTAGACAGCTTTAATTCCCATTCTTGCCAAAATTAAATATATACCCTCCATAAAAACTACTGTAATGGGACTGAAACTTAGAAGAGACTAGACAACTCGTGACCCATTGGGTCATCATTTCAGAGATATTTCTTTACCTAAACAGACAAACAGAATGACCAAGGGCAAAAAAGCAGTGTGTGTGAGAGCAACTTGCAACTTGCTCTGGCTTTCCCATTGACTTTGCTTGTGAGAAGCTGGCAGGGAGTGTCTGAAATCTATCTATCATCCTTCCTTCCTTCCCTCCCTCTTTACTTCCTCCCCCTTCCCTCCTTCCTTCCCTTCCTCCCTCCGTCTCTCCCTCCCTCCTCCCTCCTTCCTTCCCTCCCCCTTCCTTCCTTTCTTTCTTCCTTCCAACTTACAATATAGGCTTTCGCCATTTGCCCTCCCCTCACGACCCTCAGAAGAGCTCCAGTGAAGCCTCCTCCTCCTCCTCCTCCTCAACTGACCAGCGGAACTGCCTGCCACTTTGCTGGGGGGAGGTGGGAGCCGTGGACCATGAGGAAAACTGCATCCCCACTCCCCATTCTGGCGTGTCCCCAAGGGCCCCCTCCCTTGAGAAAGAGGGCTCACCCGTTGAGCACCGGTGCCTCCCAGCCAGCCCTACCTGACCAGCAGGCATCCAGCTCACTCCCTTGTCCTTCTCTCAACGCCCACAGCCATTAAGAGATATCAAATTTCGGCCTCGTTTCCAAAGCAGCCAATCACCACTTGCCCATCAGGCCTTGCCACCAACTGATTGGGCACAGGGAATAGAGGGAGGCAGGAAAGAGGTTGGGGATAAGCCCATGATAATCATGTGCCCTGGGCTGACCATGGTGGTGCAGCAGCACAGCAGTGCTGAAGCAGCCACAAATTTCCCAAATTTCAATCCCATGGGAATAATGGGTCTCTGATTTTGGATGCCTTCTCTAGGTTAGCCCATTTGAGTTACCTTGGTTCAAAAACTGT